GGTTTTAGGGGTTTAGGGTTTAGCGGTTTAGGGTTTAGGGGTTTAGGGTTGAGGGTTTAGCGGTTTAGGGTTTAGGGGTTTAGGGTTTAGGGTTTAGGGTAACCCTAAGGCCTGAAACTTCAAGAGTCTGGTTGGAGGGTTCGTTTATAAAGGGGTCTTGTAAGGGTTTAGGGCTCATGGCTCTTGGGGGTTTCGGGCTTAGTAAGCAGGGGTGCATGGTAATACAGGTATAGATTATCCGACCTAAGTCAATAAACGCATGGAGCAACATTTCGGCTATTCGGTGTGCTACGGCTCCAAGAAAACTTCGAAAGACCACATGCGCCATTTCGTGTCTATCCTTCGTTCTCTTCAATGGCGAGGTAAGTTCTGGGTTTAGTGCAACATTGGGTGCTGGGGTTTGGGGATTCCGGTTCGGATCAAAGCTGCAGAGCTCTGCACACACGAGCGGATTACTACTGCTACGACTACGACTACGACTACGACTACGACTACGACTACGACTACGACTACGACTACGACTACGACTACAACTACGACTACCACTACGACTACCACTACTATTACTATTACTATTATTATTACTACTACTACTACTACTACTACTACTACTACTACCACGACTACTACTACTACTACTGCTACTACTACTACTACTACTACTACCACCACCCTAAACCTTAAACCCTAAACCCTAAAACCCTAAACCCTAAACCCCAAACTTTAAACCCTAAACCCTGAGCCCTGAACCCTCAAGCCTCTGTTACGTATGTGGAAGGCGATGACTATGCCCAATGGTCCTCAAAGCCACCATGCAACCCTGCCGTGGTTGGTTGGGCTCTCAAACTCAAGGAGGTTTAGGGTTCAGGGGTTTAGGGTTCCGGGTTTAGGGTTGAGGGTTTAGGGGTTTAGGGGTTTAGGGTTTAGGGTGGTTAGTACGAACCCTACCACTTGCATAGGGTCGATTCTGAGGTCTCTGATTTCCACACTCAAGCATTTGAGTCGTTATGCAGAGCGCTTCAACAGACAAACACCCCAAGCACCCTTACAGACCCCTAATATAGAACCCTACCCGGATAGAGCTTCCATGGAGCCTCGCACAGAAGCTCTACTTCATTCTGAAAGAATAAAACCTCATGAGAGAGAGCACTCGCCGAGCCACTTCTGAATGTCCTGCAGACACTGCACCCGCGCGGCTGCTAACTCCTGCAACGCAAAAGTCTAGAAGCCACATAACACCCAAACAGTATGCCGCATCGTACATCCTAAGCTCTAAACCCAGAAGCCCTAAAACGGCGCAATGATCCCATGATTGTGGCTTTGTTACGCTACAGCGGTATACATACAGTGGGTCGATAGCCTAACACTCCAAACAATGCTTAGCAGTTTAGCTGCAATGTCACGGGGGATATTCCAGCCCCTCAAGACCGCTGCTTACTTACGGACTTCGGGATTACATAGTATAGAGTATAGAAGCCTAAACAATTATCTATATTATTCCTTAGGGGTCTTATAATTATAGTTTTATGGGCCCCGAAACCTATTCTAATACTTGAGGCCCTTACATTAGTAGGTAGCGTTAAAAACACTGGGGATTCATTAAAGAGTTTCGCACAACCTGAGCAGTCAGCAGGCTGTCATGTTTCTCTATGCCTGGGGTTATGTGGGCGTAGCGTTTAGGGATTTGGGTTTAGGATTTGTACCACGCAGCTAGAGTAGACTCCTGACCAACATTCAAGGCAAACAGGGAAGGATCTTCACTAACCCTAAACCTTGACCAGACGTGGGTGGCAGCCCCCACTGCGAAAGTTTATCGGAGCATTATAATAATCGGATAAACGCAACAATCCGACCCCAAACCCCAATAGAACCCGTATAGATCCGTCATAGAACCGCTCTAGAACTCTTGTAAGGCCCTTCCGACCGGCGAAAACCCGAACCAGGCCTCTTCCGCGCGGCTAAGTTCCAGCTCCTCCTTTGCGGCTGGCACGGCATCGCGGCGGACGGCAGCGCTGAGCTCACCTCTCCGCAACCAGAGGCTCACTCTCCTCTTCGGGTGTTGGGGGGGGGGGGGTTGCAGATTTAGGGATGTGTGTGTGTGTATATATGCCTACATGTATGTATGTATGTATGTA